TTTTTTTAAAAATATTTATTTATTTATTTATACAAGCACTGGGTACAGTCAGAAGCGCAGGAGGGTGAGAGAATTCACCAGAGCCAGAGCGGGGAACAGAACAGGCAGACCGACGAAATACACTGCTGAGGGGAGCAGAGGGTGGCAGGAGAGGTCTGCATGCCAAGTTGGGACCCTCGCCGGAGGCCGGGGATCGAACCGGCGCTGCACAGGCTGCGGGCAGCTTCGCAGCCCAGCGCTCAATCGCTGCGCCACCAGGGGAGGCCCTATCTTCAACCTTTTGATATTGTATGCTTTATTTCTTCTTATTTCTTTTTATTATGAGCACATAACCAATAAATACATTTTCATTCAGGAAAAAAAAAAGATGTTCTACCTTCAACTCTTATACGGACTTAAAGTCTGTTCGACTCACTAGTCTTACTTCTGTCCCCTAGAAAAACACAGTAGGGCCTACCTAGTGGCGCAAGGGGTTAAGATGCAATCTATGAATCTATCTGCAGCCACTGCAGCATGAGTTCCATCCCTGGCCAGGGAGCTACCCACATGGCACAGCAGACCTCTCCTGACTCACCCGTGCTCCCCTCAGCAGTGTATTTCAGTCAATCTGCCTGTTCTGTTCCACACTCTGCCTCTGGTGAATCCTCTCACCAGCCCCCCCCCCCCGCCCTACCTCTGGCCTATACCCCAGTTCTTGTATGCATAAATAAACCTTTAAAAAATAAAAGAAAAACACAGTAAATCTAAACTTTTCTCTATAATCTTTCAAACACATGTTTATTAATATTAGATCATGTCCTAACTTATAACATGATTTCACTGGCAATTTCACAAAAAGAATCACATTTAAGACCACAGTGCCTTTCATGGCAGCATAAGCAGAAAAATTTTCAGGAAGGAAGTTCAAGCCTTTTTTTCCTTGTTGTTTCAATTTCCCTCAATTAAATATTTCCTTTTAATCCTAAACCATCCAGAGATTTGTATAAAGTAGTAACTAAAAATTACCATCAAGATTTACACATGCCTCTGAGAGCACTGCTTAGATTTTACTCACCCCTGTTAGTTTCAGTGACTTGACAAACTGTGTAAGTTTTAATAAATGAAGGTATTTCCTAACCATACAAAAGTGAAATTTATTTTGAAAAACTCCTAAAAACATAACATTGTTATAAATAGAGGAAGATTTCTCAATTTTATAAATTTGAACAATATTCCTTCAACATGAATATTTACAAGTAGGGAATTCAGCTCTGAAAAGAACAAAGCAACTTGGTATGATGATAATGTCTAATGACTTCATAAATTTCATTTGGTCCTTCCCTGGGTCAGCGAGTAGACGAGGGGACCTTTTAGGATGTCTTCCAATACTGAGGATCTCCATTTACTGCACTATTACTAGGCAGGCTAAGGTGTCATTGATCATGAAAAAAATTTTATTCTCAGTCTACTATTTCTACCTTAAGGGTTTCATCTATAATTGTGTCACATTTTCTTCCTCCTTCCTATAAAATTGATGTAAACACCATTTTTTTTAATTAAAGTGATCTTGTTTTGCTTAAAATTTCCTGACAAATGACTTCACACAATTGCAAAATTGGAAATGAATGGGCATAAAGGCAGTGTGTGGGGAGGCCATTAGATTCAATGAGAGGTCTTTGTAAGATAATATTTTATAAAGGAGTGAGCAGAATTTTATTTTAGTGTATACAGTAACAAAAGCTGATAAGGTAGGTCAAGCTATAGTCATAATCTGCCTGATTTCATAAATAATCACTGTGTTTAGCACATGGTAACCATAAGCAAACACACTATTTGGAAGGGTATGAAAAAGCCATCATCTTTTAATCTTATTTGTCCTGTAGATTTCAGAGCCTGGTAAGTTATTTTTTTCATAGGCAGTTAAGAAGTAAATTGTTATTATAAATGCCTAATTAATAGGTTTCAATATCTGCTTGCCATGTAGTTGGGGTTCAATAAATATATAATGAGTGAATGAAAGAAATAATAATTTGTGTTTTTCTCTACTGTGCTGTTAGGAAATCAGGGTTTGATGGGACGCTATACATACAGAATTTTGTCTTAGCAATTTATCTTTAAATGTTAATTAACACAAATACTTGCAAGTTACCCTGAACAAGTTTTAATTATATTATATATTATCAAGTACGGCTAAACATTTCCAGCATTTTAGTTGCTGATATAAAGTGCAAAGTTGCTGCAAGGAGCAGGAGAAAAATTAGAGCCAAGTAAAGGTAGAAATCCCTGAGCTATTGTTTTGAAGGCTTTTTATCGATTATACTACTCTGAGAGAGTATTTACTTATTTGTTGGCCATTAGAGAAGGCAGGCTTAAGGTTTGTAAACTTATAACATAGATGCTTAAAAATAACTGTAGTCAGGACAATTTTTTTCATTTTCATTATTGCTATGATGACCTAGTACTTTTATAACAAACAAATGTACAGAGGGCTAGCCATTTAATTGAATTTAGAAAAAAACTTTCAGATTTTTCTGTATTAGAAATTCTTAAAAGGTCTCATAAATTTCATAATCTCAGTTTTTAGATGGACCAGTTATCCCCTTCTCTCAAAAAGGGACAGAAAGAGAAACTTCAGTCTTTACATAAATTTGATTTTTAGTTTGTGTTCAGCTATATGACCACCCAAGTAGTATCTAATAGTTAGATGGAAAAAAGTCAATACATGGTGAAGAAGGTAATCTCTCAGACAATTTGGTTCTGAAACCTAAGTAACTTTACATTATGCATTTGGATTATAATACTTGGATCCCAAATTCAATTTTTTGAGTGTGGTTTAAAACACACAATTTGGGGACTAGCTGAGATATGGGTTGTAAGTTTCATAGTCAGGTGCTGATCAGTTTCCAAAGAATGTGTTACCTGAGTCTTGACAACTTACTTTCTGTTTGCTATTGCATTTTGTTCATCTCAAAGTTTAAGGAATTGGCAAGGAAAGAACAGTCTTGACCTTAAAAAGACAGTTCCTATGTCTGTCACCAATAGAAATATGATATTTTCACATCACATTAAAGTTGTTGCAGGTACTTCAAATATGATTCATACTCATCATTATTTTGAAATTATATAATTACACCTGCTCCCAGATATTGTTTAATGCATAAAGCAGCATTTATTTAACTATACCACATACTTGTTTTAGTGTTTAAAAAATGTGAATAAAGTTGATTTTTAGGCATTTAATTTTATATATTTAAAAACATTACTCTGAAGTAGGGGTACACAGGCCAGGTTGCCAAAGAGATCCATGGCATAAAACAGGTTATTTTATTTTTACCTTTGTTATTTATACCTGTTGCTTATAGTGTGTAATCTAAACACTTCAGCCTGGAATTCAAGGCTTCTCATAATCTGTTCACACCTACTTTATCGTCTTTATCTCTGTTCCACCCCTATTCTCTGTACTAAGCTCTAGTCATTCCAGACAACTCTCTCTTATCTGGAGGCAGATAGACAGGTTTTTTGATTAACCCTAGTTAAAAGACAGTAGCCAGACATTGTCTTGGGCTCTGCCAAGGCTACTCTTCTTTACCTGCTTAGTGAATTCTTCATTTAAAAATTTGTTTTCTTCAATAGTATGAGATCCTAATAGCGCTGTATTGTAAACATCTTTTTATCTCACTCCTTACTTAAAGGACTGATTAAAATGAATAATAGTAGATTCTAAATTGGCATTACAGGGTAGTGAAAACTAGTCTTTGAATCTAATAAATTGGCTTAGCTCTAATTTTTGTGGAACAGAAAAAAAGATGCCCTTGAGTTCTAAGGCAGGACCCAGTTGCTAAATCCTGGATGGATGGGGAAAGGAGAGGAAAGACTGAGGGATAGAATGTGTGGGAAGGGTAAGGCAGGAGTGATGCCTCCAATTTCCCAAAACAATTATTCTAAACTTCCATTACTCTGTTCAAGCTTCTCATTCTACCCCCAAATCTCAATCCTCAAATGACCCCCATCTTAATGTGATAGTCAACTCCGTCAACTTCCTACCCTCCCCAACTTTCCATTCTTTCTTTTTCCCTAGTTAAGTGGTTTTCAAGCCTCAGCATTAAAACTCACCCGGGGAGTTTTAAAAAGTACTGATCCCTAACACCAACTTGTTTCATAGATTGTGGGTGGAGCAAGAGCCTTGTTTTATTTTTCTATAGGCTTCCCAGGTGACTCTAAAGTCTACAGGTTGAGTTCCACTACTCTTGATCCTGTACATTAGCCGCCCTCTCTCAAGTGTCCACCCTCGCTTCCATGTTTACACTTCCATGTCTAAGGGTTTCTTTTTTTTTAACCAGCTGTGCTGCCGAAGCAAACACTTAGGGTTTCCCATCTTTAAGGAAAATACTCTTCCAGTCAACATCCTCGCCCCTCATCTCTCACCCTTCACGAAAACATTGGTAAAGGGCCAGAAACCAGCTACATTCCCTTCCTCTAACTTTTTATTCCATCAGCTAAAAGCTATTTCTCTTTGTTATTCGCGCCAACATTGTCCGAGGCTTGTGCAACCGTCATTCTTTTTGCTTCTCTTATCACAGTTCTTTGACCAGCTACCAAGAGACCCAAAGGTCACCTTGGAACCGGCGTCCTCATGCTCAGGCAGGGGCCTCCTTTCTGAGCTCGGAGTAGACCGTGCTGTTTACAATAGTGTCACTTTACTACCACGGCTCTCTCTCTGCCTCTCACACAGCACAGCACTTCAGAAAGCTGACCAGATTTCACCCTCTCTGGCTTTCTGGAGCGCAGAGCAGGGAAGGCGCTCGGCGGAGCCCGAGGAATGAATGGAAAGGAAAACTAGGAAGCGGAAGCCGGGGGCGGGGGCGTGTGTGGAAAGGGGCGGGGGCTGCGGGGGGCGGCGCCGAGAACCCCGCGCCGGCATGGGGAGGGGGTACGGGCCGGGCAGCCTCGTGTGGGTGGCCAGGAGGTCCCCCGCCGGGACACCCTGACAGACAAACCGACGCGGGTCGGCGGCGTCTTACCTGCCTTGGACCTCACCGCCCCAACCAGCCTTCAGACACCTCAGTACAGGCCGGAAAGCGAGAGCTACGGTCGCAAACCCAGAATTTTCTACCCCAACCTTGCGACATTTCTCGCCAGCAGAGGGAGACTGATTCCGAGGCTGAAGCCCCCGCTCTGCCGTAAGGTGAGGAAAAAACCCTGGGCGGGGCCGACGGGGGCGGGGGAGTGGGGACGAAGAAACGGGGCGTGTCCGCGCACGCGCAGGGCGGGCCTGGCGAGTGGCGTCACGTGCGGGGGCGGGGCGAGGCCGCGGCGCGCCGGTCCCGGCCGGCGGCAGGGGGCGTGGGAGGTAAGTGCGCCCGCGCCTGCTCCGCCGCCGCCAAGGAGCCGCGCGGGGCGGGGCCGCGTGCGCGAGGTCGCGGGCGCGCGGCCGAAGCGGGCGAGGGACGCGGCGGCGGTTGGCTGTGGCTGTGGAGTCCGGCTCCGGCCGGGAGAGGCGGCAGAGGGGGACCCGCCGCGGCGGCGGCAGCGGTTGAGGCGGCGTTCCCGACCGCGCGCTCCGGGCGGGGCGCGGCGGGGGATGAGCCGGCCCCGGCCGGGCGGAGTCTCGCTGACAGGGCGGGGGATGCGGGGCGGCCGCTGGCCTGGAGCCTGAGGCTGCTGGGCCCACCCTCCCCGGAGCAGTCCGACCCCCGGGGGCCTCGTCGTCTGCTGCCTCCCGCGGCCCGACCCTGGAGCCGAGGGCGGGAGGCGGCTTCCGCCCGAGAGGAGGGGGCTGTGGTGGCCACCGCGGCGGAGCCCGAGGTAAGACCCGCCCCAGCCGCCCGCGAGCGGCCTTTCGCCCAGCCCGGCCCACGACTCGCGCTGGGGATCTGGCGGGGCCGCCCCGCCCCGTCCCAGCGGAGACGCCCCACGAGCGGGTCTGCCCGGGAGCCTCCCCGACACCCGATCTTGGCCCGGGTGCCCAGGAGACCCCACCCATTGTACCTTCCGCGGGCCAGACCTTTTCCTGGCCAGGCAGCGCTCCCGGCGGTCCTGTCATGGGCCCCCCACCGCCAGCACCACCTTTAGAACCCTCGGACTCGCTTCGGAGGCTCAGTGGAGCCTCCAGATTCCGTTACATCCTCCCGTGAGCGGACCCGATCCCTGCTCCTCGGGGGCCCAGTCACGGCCGCCCCCTCCCGCTTTGCAACCCGGAGTTCCTTGGCGGAGCGGTCGCTGCGCAGCCGCCTCCTTCCGATCGCGTCCAGCTCCCTCCCTGGGGAGCTTACTAGCTCTTCCCCTGTCCGACTTGGCTTTCAGTCTATTTCATGATGCGCTTATCTCCTGGTAGATGTGGAGCCAGCCCCTCTTTAGACACGCTCAGATGGCGGCCTCCCCCCACCCGCTACTGCAGCCTCTGGTGGACCCTTGTTCTCGCTCTTCGCCCGGGATCCTTTCTTTGATTGAATGGGTTTTACCAATAAAGCCTGGTGGGGACTTGCTTAGCCTAGTGTATTCCCCCCAAGTGGGGCTTAAGGGGGCCAGGTGACACCAAGTTGGAAGGTTTATAGGCTAGTGACTGAAGAGGGAGGGAGAGGAAAGAGTTTGGAAGCCCAGGGCAGGGTGTGTGTGTGTGTGTGTGTGTGTGTGTGTGTGTACGTACGCTGTTAGAAGGTCACAGCCTGCTTCTCATCTTCACAACGTGTGAGATTGATTGTACAGAACTGACGTTTTAGGGACCTCCATAAGGATTAAATCACATCATGCTAATGGTGTAACTGTCTCTATGTAATATCACTTGCTTCACCTTCTCAGAGATTTTCACAGATCTTTTGCACTGTTTTTTTGCAGAGGGGACTTTTTTCTTTTTAAGTTCAGCTGACATTGTTTGTAGCATGTTTCAGGTGTACAATATAACCCGACATCTGAATACACTATAATGTTATGGCCCCCAAAAAATTTAGATGGCATTTTTGTTGCTGCTGCTTTTGAAATTTCTGGTAAAGTAAGATTTATAGTTTTCCTTAATCTCTAAGATTTTATTTTTTTAAAGATTTATTTATTCATGCATACAAGAACCAGGGTACATGACAGAGGTGCGGGAGTGGGGAGGGAGGGGGGGGAGAGAGAGAGAGAGAGAGAGAGAGAGAGAGAGGATTCACCAGAGACAGAGTGGGGAACAGAACAGGCAGATGGCCTGAAATACACTGCCAAGGGGAGCAGCGGGCGAGCCAGGAGAGGTCTGCCGCACCATGTGGGTTGCTCCTTGGCTGGCTGGGATTGAGCCGGCACTGCAGAGGCTGCGACAGCTTCACAGCGCTGTGCTCAACTGGCTGCACCACCTGGGAGGCCCTAATCTCTAAGATTTTAATGTGAACTTAAAAATACGTTTCTGTTGCCTGGTGCTTGCTCTTCCAAGGAACAAGTACAATTATACAGTGTTCACTGATGGCATCATTCACAGTTTTCTCAGCTGTGGTGAATTTAATATTGATTAAAATGTTGTTTTTTAAAGTTGAAGTGAAAATGTAATGTTACACTAGGCAATTGGTGCATAATTTTAATGTTATTTAATGTTATCTAGGTGAAGTATAGGGAGATTTTGGTAGTCAGTGAATTAAAAGTTTTTATTTTGTGTTTGTGGAACTGAGGAGGGGAAATCATTTTAAAATTATTGATAGTAAGGAGACAATATAAGAGTCAATAGGTTCAAACGTATGCAGTAAAGTTTCTCTTCCTCCTTTATCCTCCAGTTTTCCCTTTTTAGAGGCAACCACTTTTTCCAACATTGTGTGTCCTTTCGATGATTTTCTAACACATACTAGCCTATGCATTTATAGCTTTAAAATATCACAGACAAATGCTTGCATATAATACACTCTTCATGGAGCTCCTCCCGCCCCCCAGTAGATCCTAGAGATCTTTAAATGATGGTAAGTATAGTTACTGACTAGATAGTGTTCCATTTTGCTGATCTTGAGGTTATTTTTCAGTCTTTGCTTTTACAAACAGTGCTGCATCCTTTTCTTTAGAATGTATCACCTGTTTTATATATATATCTTTAAGTAATTTTCAGGATTTGAAAACATTTCCTCATCATTCTTTTGTGTTGAGCCTTCAAAAAAATAGTATTAAAGTAAATTAAATTTCTCATTGAATCTCTGAGCGTCCATGGAATGACTACCTTTGATGGTGATATAGTATTTATCAAATAAGTTATTGAAGGATTTAAAGGACTGAAATGATCAGATTTGTCGATTGGAGGGTAGATAAACGCTAAAAGCAGGAATATCAGGAGGCTTACCTAGTCAGGTCATTATAGTGGTTCTGGATTTGGGTATTGGGAATAGACATGACTTGGTGATTTTATTGGATTGAGATTAGGGAGCGGATTCATACAATAGAAAATCCAAGTTTCTGGTACCTTACACAGTTGTGGGAATCCATATTAGGGAGTAGTGGGATTTTCATTTGGTTAGGAAATAGGAATAGAGGGATTCAATTTGTGACACATTGAGTTTGGTGTCTGTATATTTCTGCAAGATGTTGATGGCCAGTAGGCAGCTGGATTTGTGACTTGAGCTAATTATCAAGCTTTGGGTTGGTAGTAAAAGATTTTGGGAGCAAAGGGTATACATGAGGAAGTTATAGATAAAAAAAAAAAGATGTAAGGACAAAACCAACTTTTACAGTAAGGTAGAGTTGAATAAGCTAATACATTGTTTTAGCTATTCTCAGCTAGTTCTTAATTGACTAATTTTTCTCCCCTCTCTATTCATTGCCCCCCCCCCTTTATTTCATAGCTTCCTTTTATTCCCAAATTCTTTCTCTTTAGAATTACTATGGGATTCCTATGCCACCATCTTGCCTTCTCCGGGCTGTCTTTTAAATTTGAACTCCTGGGCCTCCCCGGTGGCGCAGCGGTTGAGCGCTGGGTTGCGAGGCTGCCGCGGCGCAGGTTCAATCCCCGGCTGCTCCCCGGCCACCGGAGGAGGATCCCACATGGTGCGCAGACCTCCCCTGCCACCCGCTGCTCCCCCCAGCAGTGTCCTTTGGTCCTTCTGCCTGCTCTGCTCCCCGCTCTGGCTCCGGTGAATTCTCTCACCCTCCCGCGCTTCTGACTGTACCCAGTGCATGTATAAACAAACAAATATAATAAATAAATAAAAACATGCCTCTAAAAAAAAAAAAAATAAATTTGAACTCCTGTTCCTGATTTCTTCCTACTATTTTCTGGTTTGAATTCCCAAGAAACAATTTCTGTGGCTCAACTCTTTTTCATAGGCTGTTAACAACCCAGTGTCTTTGGGCCATGTGACTCTCCGTCCTTTAATATTGACTCTGTGTTTATTTGTACATGGGCGTGTGGGCAAGATAATGGTGAAAAGCATGGGGGAGTTTGCAATCTAATTTTTCACAAAATAGGGTTACAAGCATAGCAGGCATCTTTATACTACAAATACAAATCTAATCATGTCTTTGCCTGTTAAAAGATCTTAAGTTCTGATTCTTCACCCAGCAGAAAGGCAGAGTTAAATCCAGAGTGGACTGCAAGGGACTGTGTCCACCTCTCACCACGTGGCTTTTACAATGAATGTCAGGTTTTTACAATGAATGTCAAGCTTGGTTTCCTTTCAGCAAATGTGTGATGATGACAGTTTAGAGGTGGATTTCTCTTCACTTTACTTCTTGGGAAAAATTTTTTGAGTGGTCTAGGGAATAATGATTTTTTATGATAAGTGCAAAAAAAAAATAAAAGATCTTAAGTTCATTTTCATTGCTCTCAGGATAAAGCTGAAACTGTAGCTTGATGTGTATGAGATTCATCATGATCTGACTCTAGGTTTCCATCTTGCTCTTTTTCTTAAATTCTTTGAACCGCTCTTACTGAACTTAGGCTTCCTTTCAGATAATGTACTTTTTCTCTTGTTTTTGCACTTGCTATTTCCTGTCCTGTCCTGTTCTCTGTCCCCTTTCTCCCCGCCTCTCTTTGCTGGACTGACTTCGTTCTGACCTTCAGGACTCAATTCAGGTGTAGCTTCAGGAAGCTGTCCTTTACTTCTTCCAGGTTAGATTAGGTGAAATCCCTGTGTACTCCTGTGGTACATTGTGTTTTTATCCATACCTGTCTAGTGAAATTGGCTAATTATTTGTCTGTTTTCTTTACTGGGCTTTTAAGTTCTTTGTATCCCTGCTATGTAGTAAGACAGGGTTTTAGGTTGATGATTTTTTTAAAATAATTTTTTTAAATAAATTACTAAGTATACAAAAAAGTACACAGATCTTCAATAGACAGCTCAGTGAATTTTTACCAATTGAACACACCAATGTAACTGATGCTGAGATACAGAATATTACAGCTTCATTAGCACCTCCTGTCTGCTTTTTGTCACTAACGGAGTTCAAAGAGGACTTAATTTTAAATGGAAAATTCTTTAACATACAAATTTCTCAACATATTTTGTTGTGTATATCTACACATATATGATACAGGTATTAGAATTTTGATTTTATAGAAAGAACATATATAATTTATTACCACTTCGCTTGTTTTATGTTATGAAATGTAATTTTGGCATACTTTAATTCAGTAGACAAGTTCACAATCACATGCTAGTATTTTGATATTTAGTTTTGAGGTATTTATGTTTAGGTAGATTTTCTTATTTATTTAATAGAATGACCAAAAAGACTATGATAGATTAAAATATATTTATTGAAGTAACCTATTTTGAGTGGTACATGGTTGAGATGGGTATAGTAAACTTGTTAAGCACCTCTGAATGCTGTTTGGCCTCTCGGTTTTAATGTGAATTATGGTG